ACTCTAAAGTGTCCAGGATACTGTGGTGCAGGGACCCGGCAGATTTAGCAAAATAGCTTATTAGAAATTTATATTTATAAGTATATATAAATTTTAATGTAATCATATTTTTCTTCTGCGAGTTCTTCATCTATCATTTCAGTAAGTTCTTCGGTCATCATAATATGCATATAACTACTTGTTTACGTAAATCAGTTCAGTAATAATCACATGTTTAGAGCAAAAATAGCAAATTTCGCATCTTAGCGCAAGACAATTGTTGCTAGCTATTTTGCTAAAAAAGAGTACTATTTTAGATGCTACAAAAATCCGAGGATTCTGCTGTGGTGACAGAATCTGCGCAGAATAATAAATTATTAGTGAATATAGTCTATTGTAACAAAATTGGAATTTCTTTTTGTTTAAAAATTATTAATTTTATCTTGACAATTACGCGTTTATTATGAATTTATTGCACACGATAAAGCAATTTTATTTTATTATGTAATACCAGTATTTCTATATAAACAACATGAATATCCAGATTCTTTATAATCATTTTATTATAAAATTGATCGCATCTCTAAACATCTGCCCAAACATATTTTTTAATTATTTCTTGACTCAATAAAATGCCGCCTAGACGTAGACTTCCATCCAAGAAAAATAAACGACCCATTAGATTAACCTTTGACAGACATCACCAGGATATAGAAAAGGTGGTGTATCTTCCAATATCAGAATTGATCACGCAACCCATTGAACAGTCCATTGAACAACCCATCACTAAATACAAACAGAATATCGAACAACCCATCACTAAATACAAACAGAATATCGAACAACCCATCATTAAATACAAACAGAACATCGAACAACCTATCATTAAATACAAACAGAACATCGAACAACCCATCATTAAATACAAACAGAACATCGAACAACCCATCATTAAATATACACAGAACGTCGAACCACCCATTATTAAATACAACCAGGATTTTGAACAACCCATCACCCAACACAAACAGAATATCGAACCCATCACTAAATACAAACAGAATATAGAGAAAATAGTATACAATCACATACCTAAATCAATTAATAGTAAATTTATAGACAATAAATTTTCAATAAAAGAAATAAAAGATAAGCTAGATATTCCTAAACAGAAATCAAAAGCAGTCAATATTGAAAAATGTGATATACAAACCTATAAGTCTGATGTAGAAATGTCTGATATAGAATCTCCCTAGTTTTTGATTTTTAATCTTTTAGTTTGAATATAAACTGTTTAAAATTAAATAACATTAATCAATGTAAAAATCTCATATAATAAACCTAAACTGAATTAGCCAGAACGGCCACTCTAAAGTACTGGTTATCTGACCATGCGTATTGTCAATATATTCAATTAAACTACCTAAATTAATTTTTTTCAATATTAAATAACCAGAACTCTGAGATTACCCTGGCTAACTCATAGAATTGTGTAAACATTCCACTTATTAATTGCTTATTGGAAAAGAAAAATGCTTCAAATCATATTTTTGTATCATTAAGATGATACATGTTTTGAAAAAAATAAGTGTTATTAATAGCAAATCACAACCCGATAAGAAAAATAATCATAGAATCGAAATCTTATAAAGAAATTAATAATTAAATTCAAACCAGATATATTCATCCGAAAGTTTTGTCTTTTCTCTTTGCAAGGTAATAACGGAGGTGTAATCAATTTGAAGGGTTAAAAGAAAAGAGCAAAAGAGTATGTTAAAAGCTTGGAATATCAAAGGCAATTTCCTAGGGTCTTTGCACAATGTGAACGTAATCCACTTACCTTAAGTCTTTTATCAGGAAGCTTAAATTCCAGCATATATTCATTTGTGGCCGTCGACACGTTTTTATAATGGGATATAACCCAGTGACCAGAACACGAAATACCGATACCGATACTTTAGACAAAAAATAGTAACGGTAATGGTAAAAATCAAAATTTCGATGTAACATTTTGGCGCAGCATATAAATTTGCGGCAATCATCATGTCAAACGACTTGACCCTCTATAAAAAATTTTTTAGGGTACTAAATCTACTATTGCATATTGCTGCATGGTGAATCAAATCCGCCCATATGCAGTGAATATCAAGAAGTCGCTAAATAGAACTCGCCAAACAAGATGACAGAACTACACTAACAACGTTAAAATCATATTTTTCATTGTTTATATGATGCGTATCTGCTTTTCCATTTCCTATTTAGGTATTTCGCAGATCAGTGCCCGTGATGATTAACCCAATAGGATTACATTCATCTGATTGGCCGATGTAAATCAATTGCCCGGATAACTTGTTTATACGTTTTTAAAGTACGTTTTAGGAATGTAACTTTTCACTAATAAAAAAGGTTCCAAGGTTCACTGTGCAAAATAATCTCGAAAAGATCTCGAACCTTATATAGAGTTTTCTTAGAATACAAAAATAGTTTAATAAAAATCTAATCAAATTTAATAAGATTAATTTTATAAGTTTATAAAAAAAGGTTTATCAAATTTGATTAAGTTTTTGTTGAGTTATTTTTATTTAAAATTTTTTTTTAAAATCTTAAAGACAATTTGCTTGGTTTCTATTGACTCATACCATATGCTTCTTGTTCGCCCTTTTCATTATCAGCTCCCTTTTCATAGCACTGTCCAAGATTACCAATTCCATTAGTATTTCTCATGTTAGAAGACTGTTGGTAATCAGTAGATGTTTTATCTTCATTTCTTTTAATG